CCCTTCAGGTGCTGATTTTCCCTGATGGCTTCATTTAACTCTTAGCACCAGTGAGATCGCTCACTATGCTTCTGGACAGTTCCCATCAATATTTGCACGTGGTCTCTTTCTGGTATTGGCCTCAACAGTCTAGTTTGTAACCACCAAACTACAAGTCCAGGGGCATATTCTGTAGATGTTTGTTTATTCTGTTACCATGCTCCCTTGGACATTGTACAGCTTTTGTTTCACCCACAGTACATGTACATTCTTCTGTTATATTTTTGTTGCTCCATCTAGTCATAGGCAATGAGGCCATCTTGTCTGCAAGTTATGTATCACAGAACCATAAAAGTACATACATGCACACAGTATTTTTTTCAAGAAACCCACAATTTTTTCTTTGAATGAGAACAAATCTTTTTGACAAATAATTCTTCAGCTTCCTGGTGTACAGTTTTCAGCTTCTTCTGGACATCTTCTGCTATGCATTTGGTTTTTTTCAGCACTGCATTGCAAAATCTCAATCAATTTCTCTCCCCATCCAGCTGGCACCTTTCAGGCCCCTACCAGAAGTACCTAAATTGCTGTGACAGGACAGGCAGCATTCCCACCTGCTGCAGGGCATGGAGGCCAACCAGACCCTCAGATTTCTGCTCTCTGGCCAAACCAACCAACAATGTCCAGGTTTTTTGTCATCCCTAAGAACAGCCAAGACTTTACAGCTAGAATAATGGACCATTATAGAAAACCAATCAGATACATACAAGACATAAATGCAATATATGTGGTCATTTCATGATACATTTTGTTTGAGTATATCTGATTTTTTAGGACCTCATATTGGTTACAACTATTGACTGTTTTCTTGATTGAGTATTTATGGTTTATCTCTCTGGAAGCAAATACTTTTTTCTAGGGTTTTGTTTGTTGGGTTTTTTTTTTTTAATGAAACAGAATTTGTACAAAAAGTGTCTGTTTTCCATGAAAGATTTCAATGTACCAGTACTAAGAATCTTCAGATTTAAAACCAAGCTATCTAATGTAAATGATTCTATTTCACAGTGCGTGCTGGAGTTCAGGTACTGGGAACATGTTATTTTCTGTGGGCCATCTCCCAGACAGAGTCAATCTGCCAGGATATTCTGTGTCTTTCAGATTTCCTGTGGTATCATGTAGTATGAATTGATCATGATGCATGGTAGGAGATATAGCCCTAACATGATAAACACAGTATATAGACAAAAGATGAGGAATGAAGCACCTAGTCTACATTTGTGTTTACATACTATGACAGATAAGCTTACAAATCCTGCAGTTTACAGCTGTAGTTACTATAATGCTGGTGGTGTACTATCATGTGGGCTCAGTAGTTGTTTTGGTTGGAATTACTAATTTTCACTCAACAGTTGCAGCGGTTGGTGCTTGTAAAATTAAATGTTGCTGACTTTGATTCTCACACCTGAGTGACCAGCATCATCTCTTTTGTTTTCTTTTTCATAAAGCAACCTTGAAAACCTGCTATAACTTATGTAAAATTGAGGCTGACAATATTTCAAGCAGAAATGCAGTTCACATTGAGGTCACAAAAATGGATTTGTCTTTTATAGTCCTAGCAGCCCATGCAAACAGGATTCCTAGTTGTGTTCATGCAGCTTCCCAGTGCAAGGGGACCCTTGAAATCCTTGGCTCAGGATTTTTGAAAACAAAATTAACAAAAATCAAGACGATGCATGGACTACCTGTGGTGGACGTTTCTAGCCTGGAGAACAGGAGGGACATAGCAGTTGAGCCAGAAAGGTAACAGAAAGGTTCTCTGTAGGCTTGAGGATACAGACTGCATCAAGGCAATAGCTCTCCTCACACTGTATGAAGCAGTTTGTTTTCTTTCCTCATTGTCCCTTTCTTTATATTTCTACTAAAAGAATTAATCATCTGTTGAACTCAGTTACCATCAATGCTTCAGAGCTGCCAAGTCTCACAGAAATGTATCGTATTTAAGGTACAGCATGGTACCTGTACCATATGACAACACAGGCTTACATGAGATGTCAGAAGTTAGGAACTTCTTCCTGCATGGGATTTGTTGAGATGTGTACTGATAAAAACTTTATTAGCAAAAAGATGCTAAAATCTGAAAATGTCAGGAAAAAAGGCTATGGTCTTTGAAACCCTTGGAGAGTGATGTTCTTTACCCTGTCTGCATTGTATCTTCTGTTGCTGGACCGAGATGCCAAGACAAGCTTATACTTCTTTCACTTTTATCACCATGTCAGCTCTGCACACTTAGTGTATACTATATTTGCATAAAGCTCCTTAAAGGGACTCCAGCGTTGAGGGTAAGCAATCAGCCTCCTCCGCTGCTTACACTGGATGAGCAGTGCCCTCCTCCCCTGAGACCCAGTGTACCCTTTCCATCACACACTCAGCCTCATCTAGCCTGTAGTGTAAGAGTTTCAAGTCTGTCTTGCACCTGATTCCATTTTGGATGTCAGCATTCGGAGCTGCTGCTTGCTGTGATTGCCCTAGGCCTTCACACATATAAATGGGGTTTAATGTCAGCTCAACATAAGCACAAGTACATAAGGAAATGATGAATGGGGGTAACACAGGATCCCATCCCTGCAAAACCCTGAAGAGTTTGTCAGCTCTTCGGTCCTAAGGTAAATACAGAAATGATAGGAAAATAAGAGAAGCTGAGAATCTTCACAGTAATGTAAAATTGCTAATTAAAAATATTTTGAGGTCAGTGAAATGAAAAGGACCTTTCACTGGCTTTCAGATTATTAGTATCAGTCACCTGATTCAAAAGCTGTCTATGCAGTAATGTTAAAGTATTTGAAGTATTTATTGTATGCATTTTCTTTATGTCAAGAGCATGAATATTTCCAGCTTTTATTACAAATGGTGAGGCTAGGAGAGCTGGGCTAGGAAGCACAAGAGAGAAAAAGACAAATGTATGAGTGCAGAGAACAAAATCCTTCACCATTCAGGCTGTGGAATTGTTATACAAGTTGAAATCTTACTTCTTTCACTGCTGTTTTAGATACAAGGCCTAAATGTTCCTCTGACCATACCTCGGTTCCGTCTGGTTAAATTCTTCCATGAACATAAGTAACAAAAGCTATAGCTTCAGCTTACTTTCTGCGGTCAGGTTTACCATTGGTAAGGATGTTTCCAGAAAGACAATGTGGTTAAAACTGTCCTTTAAATAGAACAATATGTCAGTAAACATCTGAAATGCGATTTTTCTAGAAAAGGTGGGGTTTGCTTGCTTTTCAAGTTAAAGAAATGTGAATAAACCTTTGTTGATCCTTTAAAAAAATTCCGTTTAAATTAATCACCCCTTTATTCCAACATGCCCATTTATCTGTGAGTTTTTTACTGTGAAGCTTACTGTCAGGAGTTAAGACTTGCATCCAGCTTTCCATAAAATAACAATTAATAGATCCCGTATACACTAATATACACTTCTCATTCTCTTTATGCCCAAATCAATCCTTCCACCAGGAAACCTAAAGATAGTGTTGACCTTTAAAGGGATACCTGTAAAGATTGAATTGAGGAGGTTTTAGTGTTCCTACAAAAAACTGGAACTCTTTTGTGTTTTCTTCAGCACCTTTCCGCTGAATCTCAGCTTTATAACTGTGACAGTAGGGTAGGCATCTCTCCTTTAAATAACACTCCTATACCATTGATTGCAGGAAGTATATACATGTTTACATTCATTTTTATGCTTTCCTTCTTGATGCTGTTTTTAAATTCAGTCAACATTTGGCCAAAGAAACAGTCTTATTTTGGGACTTCAGGCACCAGATTCACCCACAGTATGCAGACTGTTGGGGATGTGAATAAGCAAATTATGACATTCCTGTTTCTTTCTACTTCCCATGCTCAAGTTTGGCTAATGCATTGTCAATGTCCTTTCCTTTTTTGACAAACACATTTTCTGCAAAATGCCAGTTCTGCCACAAGGGCTTCAGTTCAGTTGTGTGAGTTCAACTTTGTTCTGTTGTTTAAAAGTAATTCATCTTAAGCAATGTCTTCAGGCTGAAGCACTGAGCTTCATTAGACATACAGGTCTCAAAGCTGCAAAATAAAAAAATCTTCACATTTCTATGGCACGTTTTATCAAGACATTTCAACTGCCAGTGCTAATGAATTCATGCTGAAGGTTTGTGTGAAAATCTTTCTAATCCACTCAAGTGGCTTAAAGGGCAAAGATCTACTTTAAAATACTTCCCTGAGAATTTTATTCTCATTTTCAATGGAATCTCAGGCCAGCACTGAATGCTTCCCTTTCCCCTTGCATCCTTTATTCCATGTTAAGCGGGATTTTCTAAGGCTGCAATTTCAGAATAACTTTAAGGTAACTTAATCCTATATGTGAGATCTATTCCCACATCTCTCCTTCTAAAACCCAGGATAATACTTCTAGCTTTCACCACTTGCTATCACCTGTCTCCATGTTCATGTTCATTAAGCTAAATGGGAAATTGATCTAACTGAAAACTAACTTGAGAAAAAAGAGAAGAGACCTGTTTCCTGTTTCTCTGACATGTGTAACCCCAAGGTAATGCAAATTGCCTATGTCAGTATTGGGCAGTCAGAGCTGGGCAGCTGCAAAGGCTTGGGGCAGACAGAATTGATCAAGTAACCAGAGTCTCCAAATGACATATATTTAAACAAAATTAAAAGAAAAAAAAAATCACAAAACAAACAAACAAAAAAAACCCAAACCAAACCAAAAAAAACGAACCACACTTCCAGAATTGCCAGATTAATTGTTATTTTCAGGTGCTGATCCACTGTTTATCAAGCATTGCTTGGCTTTGGGTTGAATACTGAAATATTTTGCAACAATCATCAGAAAGTTTAAAAAAAAATGAGAAAGGTAGCATAAGAAAGAAAAGATTTTTTTTTTAAATCTGCATTTTCCAATAACTTTAATGTTTTCAACATTTGCTATTGCAAATCACTTTTCACTGTTTTACAGCTATTTTGTATTCTCCTCTTCACAGATCGAATTGCACAGAATATCATTAAATCTCATTTGGAGACATGTCAATATACAATGGAGGAGCTACACCAGCTAGCGTGGCAGACCCACACATATGAAGAAATTAAGGTTTACCAGAGCAAGGTACAATACTGTAATATGATTTTTCTTCTGCTCTCTATGGTTTGAAATTGTTAACAGTGTAATGTATTTGGCAATGATATACTGATAAGTTTCATGCAGGTCAAAATAAGCTTTTAAATATCTTTGAGAAGCTGGTTACCGAAAACAAAGGAGTAACACTTCATAAAAAGAAGCAAAAGCTTTCCAGCATGTTGAGATGTTTGCTAATGTCAAAATTTAGGCATGGTTATGGAATCCAGCTTCCCATACTTTCCTTCTTATCATATGTCTAAACTTCATGCAGAAATTCTGTTGACTTTAATATGATCAGGACTTGATCCTCTGTTGTAAGGATTTTTAAAAAAATGACAAGCTAACTTTGTTTGCTTATAATTTTTAAAATATCCCATTTTTACACAAATAACAAATATCTGTCACTTATAAACAATAGATAATGACAAACTAGAAGTACTCCTTAAACTGAAGTTGTTCAAAACTGAGGGGAAAAATTACCTTGTTACACTACATTTTTGTTTTACCTCTGTGATTCTCAGGTCAACTTCAGATTATTTTCTACTGGCACCTCTTCAGATGTAGTCCAGTCAGCAGAAATCTTTGTGCCTCTTTCACTGGCATCACTAACAATGATTCTTCAGATTTCAATCAGCACAGTAGCTGATCAAGCAAGAGACAGAAGAGCCTCCAGCTTGTTCTTTGAAAGCTGAGGGGCTATGCAATACTAGCAAGAATAAAAACACACCACAGCTTGCAGAGCTGTGGCATGCAAACCAAGAGAATCTGTTTACATTTGCACACTTGTGTGTGCAAGGAAAATTATTATCAAGGAGACACAATTTTGATGCAATCAGTGCTCAGATTGCAATGATACTTGAATTATGTATTATTCTAAGTTTCAAAGTAGCAAAAATATTCTGTTGGATAAGTTAATAGCACTGTGCCACTTCTTCCGTAAGACTGCTCTGGGATGTTTACATTGTTAGTGCCACTGTTTGTCTATATCACACACAAAAGCCAACACAAAAATCACATTTTAACATCAGACAATGCATTCTTCCTCTTAGAAGAGGCAATGCCAGAGTTTAGATCACTGGGGCAACCAGCTTGTGAAAACAGCCTTCTAATGAAAAGTGTCGGGTACCTTGAGAAGCAGAGATGCTACTAGCTGTGCCTGGGGATGGGGGCAGAGTCTGAGAAGAGCACCTTTCTGCAAGGCCACCTGAAGAACTTAATGCACTGATAAACCCACTTGCTGACTACTTTGTTTTTCCATGTGTATTTTTCTGTAAGACCAGAGAAGCTCTGTGGCAGCAGTGTGCCATTCAGATCACCCACGCTATCCAGTATGTGGTGGAGTTTGCAAAGCGCATAACAGGCTTCATGGAGCTCTGCCAGAATGACCAAATTCTCCTCCTTAAGTCAGGTGGGTAGACTCTGGAGCCTGGAGACTGGTTTAGCACCCAGCCTGTTAGAAAAGTGCTCTGCTGTCTTGTTCTGCAAATCATTTTAATTTTGAAGGAGCCCTAATTTCAGTCTGTTTCATTAGCTTCATTAACCCCTCCATGTTTTTCCACATTAATCATGTTACTGCCTTATGATACCCTTCCCTTTACAGTTGCTGGTGGATTTTAAGTACACGTGCACACACAATCATTGCAGAAACTGCAGTCTTCAACCTGACGTGGTGGAAGGGGCCTGTCAATCGTGCTGGTAGAACCAGTCATCTGCCACCCTGTAAAATCCCAACTTGTCATTAGTGAAACGAACGAAGGCTCACCGGGGCCCATCTCTGTGGTCATCTCTAATCTTTTTAATGAGACTACAGAAATAAACTCCAGCCAGTGCACAGGAGGGAAAATCCCTGCGGGTGCCAGTTAGTTTCAGAATAAATGAGAGCGGATTACGGCAGCGTGCTTCAGCCATTGTCTCTGTGCGTGCCTGGGTGTGCAGGTGTGTGCATAAGGGCAAGGGGAGGAAGGGTTTCTTTCCCTGTAGTGGGACTTGATAATTTCTGTCCTTCGTAAGAATCATGACAAGATATTTGCGACTACATAGTAACACTGCCGAACTCAGGAGGACAAAATGGTGTGACCAAGTGAACTGCAACTGGTAATTAACTGCATTTACCCTGTCATATCAGTTTCTTGCTCTGTCCATGTGTAAAAGGTAGGATGCTGTGTGAAGCAGCTCGTTAAAGCATAAGAAATGATGCCTATTTGAAGAGAGAGCTCTTCGTTAAGGCTGAAAGTCAATGTGATTCAGCGCTCTGTAGACAGAGGGCTGTGGCTCAGTGTGGAGCTAAACAGAGACAGTGGGCATGGATATCAAAAAAAGGGATACAGAGACCCTGGAAACATTCAGGCAACCTCCTGGAAAAACAGAGTCATAGCATGAGAACTATTATTTTAAAGCTCTTTCTAATTTCGAAAATTCTGCAGATGCCAGTGCACTCCAAATTACTTCCTTCATTTGTCTGGCAAAGTTAGCAACACAACTGCATCCTCAGAAAAATATATAGTTATATTTGACTATAGTGTGGGACAACTCTGTTCAGCTTCAACATGTATTAATATATCGGGTTTAATTTTGTGTTTTGCTGTTAATGCTGAGCAGGAGTTAGAAAAGCCAGACTCCTCACTCAAAAGGATGCCTGCAAAAGAACCCTCAGCTTCAGAGTTTTGGATTTATCTGAGGAATACCTAAAATTTTTCACTTCATTTTCCCAAACTGTATATTTTTGCAGATAGGAAATTATAAGGAAAGATAAGGAGAAAAAAAAAAAAAAAAAAAAAGAGGGATTCATTTGGCTTGTCCCCAACCTGAAAGACAAGCAAGGGAAACAGAAGTAAAACCCAATTTAGAGGTGTTCTTGACAGTACTTTTATTTTCTCTCTAAAACCACTTTGTAATGTTCTCCACTTCCAGTCAAATGAAGCTGGGATTTATATACACATTGACTGAAGCTGCTTGTTTGTATAAAAAAGGTTTAATTGTTAGAAAGGATTTTCAATAAAAGTCTAATATTCAAGATAAAATATTTCAAATTGAAAATATTTGCCCCATTCTAAATTCAGATTCAGTCCAGGCTGCCATTTTCTGCAATGGGGGGAAAAAACAAGCTAAAGAAAAGGTGTTTAGGATGGGCCAGGAATTACCTTTTTCTATACTCAAAGCAGACAGAAGTATTTTTTCTCTCATTGAGAGATATATCATCTAGATAACTTCAAAGAGTGCCTATCTCTGCTGATGTTTCTTGTAACTGATGGATTACCTAAATATTCTCTTGAAATTTCCTATATTGTGACATTTTGCAGTAATGTGTGTTACTTTTGCCCTTTTTTGCATCTGATAGGCTGCTTGGAAGTGGTTTTGGTGAGAATGTGCCGTGCCTTCAACCCACTCAACAATACTGTTCTGTTTGAAGGAAAGTATGGAGGGATGCAAATGTTTAAAGCCTTGGGTATGTTGATCTTCTTTTCAGCTAATTACGTTGAGCGACATTGTGACAAATTTGTTTCTGAGAATAATGACCCACAGGGAAAATCTCCAGTAAACGTTGAATCCCCAAACCTCCAAATCAATAGACTGGAACTGAGAAAGGAAAAAGATTACTCCATTAGCTGCTTGAAGTGATAGAGGTTTTTCTCTAACAAAAAAGAACAGCATGAGTGTTTTTCAGATAGATTTCTTATTCTGCCATCTGAAGTTTTGATAAAATGTGAGTTTATGGCAGGAACCAAACAGTTTATCTTCACAGCTTATTTATGGTAATTTAATCCTGTATGTGAGATCTAATTGTGTCCTGCAGAAGTCAATTTTAGCCCCAGCAACAAGGGGACTAAAATGATGAACTACTAAAAAATATAGACAAAGACTAACTTAAAATACTGTTTTGCCTAAAACTTTTAAGCTCATTTAGATTCTTGTATTAAAACAATTTCTTCATTTGTCAGTATGATAATAACTGCTACCTGAAAAGTTAATAGCTAAAAAGAAGTGTTTTGCCCATCCATGAGACTGATATATTATCAGAAATTTATTCAGGACCAAACCCGAAAAGAGACATTTGCCTCAAATGTATATATTTATCATATGGGTATATATATTTTTCTTATTTGCATATGGATAAACATGACACTACTTTACAAGTTTAAAGCATTTATGAATATGCATTAGTTGATTTATTTTGGTCTTAATTATGTTTTCACAAATTTTCATAAATAATTGTACTGTTAATAAAATTATATATGTGAAAGTTATTTAGGACGGGACATTCACTCTTCTTAGATTTAATATCTGTTTAGAAATATAATTTCTTTCCACATTGGGAAAAGAAAACCCTCTTCTAATATGTTTACAGTTTTCGTACAGGTCATGCCCCTAATTTTTGATCTTTAATAGGTGTTTTAGTAACACATTTTTGGGGTAGGCAGAATTTAAATAGCTGATGAAAGACACTTGTTTTATAATTACAGACTTTCACTCACAACTTTATTTGACACCAAAACAATCCACTTTTCATGGCAAGTTAAAGAACTGATAAATTGCTAGCATTGATTTTGTCCTTTGTGGTCTGCAGGTTCTGATGATCTGGTGAATGAAGCGTTTGACTTTGCAAAGAATTTGTGTTCCTTACAGCTGACTGAGGAGGAGATTGCCTTGTTTTCATCCGCTGTTCTGATATCACCAGGTAATTTTTCATTCCAAACACCACAATGACTTTTCTTTTTCATCTCTGTCCAACTTTTATTTCTATTTACTTAAACAGCTGTTTAGGCTGTATTAAACAATATATTAAGCAATGGAACAATACCTGAATATACCTCACTCTGGTTTTGGTAGACTGTCAGAAGTTGCACATACTGGAAATCGATCCAAAGTGTGGGGGTAACAGACATGGAGCAGGATTGTGCAGAGAAGCTGTGCAGGCTGGTGTTCCTCCAGACCACATACAGAGAAGCATGGTGCTCAAGGAGATACATGTTCCTCCTAGCATTTTCAGAGAGCTCAAATGTCACTGCCCTACGCAGGTTATATAGTCCTTAACTAAGATTTTTTTTTCTGTGGGTATAAGAACATAAGCAAAATATAGAACATAGATGAAAATCTATGATATGAAGTCCTGTCTGAATTTACCTCCAGATAAGAGGTGGTGATTCCAGGGACAACATACTCTTTTTCATGTATATTTTCATCATAACTCTGCACAGGCAAGCATGCATTCGGTGATTGTTTTGCTGTCCAACCACAGAAAATTGTTTATATGGTTTAATTGACTCAGAAAGTGGATCTGATAGATAAGCTCACAGTTTAGTGTGGGATCTTTAAACATGCCTCAGGGGAAGTAGACCCCCAGATCCCACTAAGAGTAACCTCCTGAAAGATCATTTTGAAGCTGATTTCAAAGCACTTTGGATCAGATGGGGCATCTAATCTGTAGAGAGAAAGATAGATCAGCTACGTAATTTTTAACCAACTTGAAAATAAGAAGTTACTGCCTCCCAGGTAATCATGAAAAGGAAAACAAGTTATAGCCCTATTCAACAAAATATGGTTACAGAAAGCTTCTAGCATCTCAATGTCCTGTGCCTTAGGACAAAACCTATTTAAGTAATGGAAACTTTCCAATTGATTTTAATAGATTTTGGATCAAATAATTTATGAAATGTGCTTAGCTACAGATAGGCATTAGATGAACATCAAAATTCTGATTCAGCTCTGTAGTTCAACATATGTCCCTTTAGTTTGCTAAGCACCAAAATGTCTTGCATTCTGCTAGCAGCTCATGTTGCCTGAGTATCCATGCTCATTTCGACTTCTTGCAGCTGTACTGAGTAGTTGAAAAAACTAGCAACTCAGCACTGACTTTGAGCCAGCTGTATTGGAGGCATGTGTTGAAAAAGCTTCTCCATTAACTCTAGGAATGCATTTCAGTCCTGATACAGCCTTTCAGAGCTGAATGTCTTCTGAATAGCAACTTCTGTTTCTGCTAAGTAGTAGAGATAAATAGAGGCAATTCCAAGGGTTTTTTTCACTATAATCAGGCTTCAGAGTTGAAAGTGGTACTACAAGATTAAATATTTCAATAATCCACACTTCTCCATTTCACATCCAGTGTGGCTTTTTTCTTTACAGTGTCTCTTATTCCTTTAACAAAAACAAAAAATAAGTGAAAGTGCTTGATGCATGTGAATGCTTATTTCTGTAGTCTGTGAGCATATGTATCTTTAAGTCATAGAAGACGCAGTAAGAAAGAAATGATGGGATTCAGCAGCACGTACATTAGCGAAAGCAATCTCTTTTCCATAAAAAGTCTGCAAATTTGTATTGTGCATATAATTCCCATTTCAGCTGGTCTGCTAAGTTTGGTAGTGGAAGGCAAGGAAAACCAGTACAGAATGAACAGACATTGAAATCTGCCATTTATTTTCTTACAAAAAATATAACAGTAATCAATAGAGAAATAAACTATTTCTTTCCACACTACACGTTCCAGTTTCTTTACAATACAGTATTTCATCTTGGGAACATGAAAATTAAATGTAAAAATTAAAAAATCAAGCACTGCTTTACAGAAGGAGCTGCAGCAGTCCTTCCATCCACTCATACAAATACACTGAGATTCCCTATGGGAAGTACATACACTCAATTTTCTTTTCTACAGAAGCCACTGTCCTGAAAGGTGATTCTTGTGCCCTTGATCTGAGTGTTTAGGTAGTTTACAGGAAACAGAGTGGTCCAATTGGGGGTAAGGGGACCTAAGAACATTCATTAATACAATTGCTAAGGCTGCAAAGCCCAGTGTCAGACCCATTTTCCATCTGATTCAAAGCACAAATTCAGATTTTCCACTTTAGGGTGGACCTAACACTCTGCTTGAAGGTGATTCTTTAATTTGATTTCTGATCTGAAAGGTTAAAACATTGTAGAAGGAGTCCAGTAAAGCTTGCAGAGGCATCTCCACCTACAAATATGCCAGATCCACGTGGTAGGACACTAACCTGGCTGCCCACTCTGTGCCAGTCCCTCATCCGAAATTGTGGCTGGCCAAGTTCCTTTTTTTCGTCTTCTTCTTAACAAAAGAAGATCTTGTAAGTTGTCCTTCATCTTCTTTCCTACACTATTCTCTATCCTAATGGCCTGTGCACTCTTTAAAGTTGCACACATTCAAAACCCCAAAGTACAGAGTTGAACCACTGCTTCTTATATCCTGTATGGGTAGCCACTGATCTGTTGACCTTTTCTGGCACTTTTGTGAATATAACTTGAGGTACCTGGGGAGCTCCAGACAAATTTGCAAGTGGTTTTCTGGTGATAGAAACCATATTCTGGGAAACAAACTTAATATCCATTATAAAAGTTGCTCTTGTCATTAATTTAAGACTCTTATGTTATATACAGCATGCTCCATGACAAATAAGTGATTAAACCTGTCCTCCAACAGCCTCAGTCTATTTTTAGATTATTATTGTGACAGAAAGATAAATCTTTAAGGATTGCTATGATAAATCTTTTTAGCTCCAGTCTGCCACAATGGGCCTTGATTTAACACTGTTGAAAGGTATGGTTTTGAAATAGCATAAAATTTGGCACCTAGCCTGTGAAATCCAGATATTAATGTGTGCTTATTTGTTTAGATGCTGCGTGTGCTCTGAGCTACTTCTGTTTCTGTGGCCACAGGTGGCATAGGATCCATTAGCTTACCTTCTGGGAGCATGATTCTCTAAGCTTTGCAAAAAGATTATTTTCCTCTCCTGATTATATGTTAAGTCACTAGAGGTTTGGCTTTGCCTCTTTTTACAGTACTTGGTGATGGACACTTTTCATACACTCCTATCCACAGACAGTCAGACAAATGACAGAATCCTGTTCCTTCTGTGATGAAATGCTATTCAGCTCCAGCCTCTGTGGCATGTGTGCTCATTGAAATGGTTGATTTGTATTATTTCTATGGATTATTTTAGTGACCGGAGTGAGTGAAAGAGCGCTGAAAGTAAAAGGGATTTTCCTGCACTTTTCAATTTGTACATGAAGATTCATGCCCTGTGATACAATAGCTTTCCTTATTTCCTGTTTGAAAACTAAAATCTATACCTAAGAATTGGTCTGAACTGAGAGAGAGAGAGAGTAAGAAAGAAGTTTGCAGCATGGAGAAACAGAACGTTTAATGGTGCTGTAAACACACTATATAAATGGTTTGGCATTGTCTTGGGGTCTGCTACTTTTCTTTCTGTGTGTTTATCTCCAGAAGCTATGACTTATGAGAATATAGACCTTAAGGAAGATCTCTTACACTTGGGGTTTGAGTTCAGTAGAAGTCATATAGGTTTCCAAACAACTGTGTCTGTAACTGTTATTCTCCAGATAATCTTTAATTTTGTGTTGTTTAAAAAGAGAACATTTTTAAATAATGAGAAATTTGCACTTCAAGACATTGCAACAACTCATAATTCTTTTGAATTATTAAAGAAATTCTTTTGAAGGAAGCCATTTCTTTTTATTCAGAATATAATATTTGGTCTCAAAATGTTAGTCTAGTAAATAATGAAATATATTTTATTTTAATTTTTAAATAATTATATTATTTTCAAAGAAGTGTTTTGATCAATATGTTTATTATTTATGTATTAAGACACTGAGATAACATGATATGTTTTTCACCTAGCCAGTATGAAGTTAGAAGAACACTGACTGTACAAACAGAGAGTAATAAAATGGTTGGGCTTTGTTTCATTTCTACTCCCATCTTTGTCCTGGTTTAAACAGAGATACAGAGCCAACATTGTGTTCCTGTGCACTGTTAATTAAACTCTTAGATGATCCTTTAACAGATTAAGATACTTTGCCTCTGAAACCATGTCTTAATTATCATGCAGTCTTTCTTCATGGGAATTATGACTGCTGTGAAATCTTGGCAGCATGGGACACTGTGTTCATCCATGAGCATGCCCTACATCTGTGCATTCTTGATTTTAGCTCTTTCTTTCCTTTTTCACAGATCGAGCCTGGTTGATAGAGCCAAGGAAGGTCCAGAAGCTTCAGGAAAAGATTTACTTTGCACTTCAACATGTGATCCAGAAGAACCACCTCGACGATGAGACTTTGACAAAGGTAAATGGTTAAAACGAAGAGCCAAACACTCCTTGATCATGTTATCTCAGTGTTGTAGCCATTTCTCCATGTATTGCCACATTAATGTAAGTTAAAAGCAGCACACTATGTGCTTGCAATGCATAGGTGAAATAAGGTTTATTTTACTTTTCTCCCTTGTTCCTCTTACTCCATTTTTTGTTCAATCCACTAATCTTTTTACTTGGTACCCTAGAAAGAATGAGACTGCCATAAAAAATACCCCTGGAGGCAGGTCCTTCTTTAAATGCATCTTTGGCCTTTCGATAAAATTTCCAGGACAATGGTTTTTAGCCTCTTATGATAAGAACAATGTCTCGTCCTTTGAATGGCTACTTTTGATGGAGTTCAGAGTATTGCATTCAGTTACACAACCAGTTGTTAACGTAGTTCATTTTGGAAAGTGTAATTTATACTAAATTTGCTTCCTCCCTCTTCCTTTTCTTTTTATTTTAATGTCTCGCAGTTAATAGCCAAGATACCAACCATTACTGCACTTTGCAACTTGCACGGAGAGAAACTACAGGTATTTAAGCAATCTCATCCAGATATAGTGAACACACTGTTTCCTCCATTATACAAGGAGCTTTTCAATCCAGACTCAACCACTGGCTGCAAGTGAAGGGGATAATAGAATTTTCACGTAGTCATGGAATGCGTCACTATTAAGATTTAAAAAAAAAAAAAGTTTTCATGAAGAACTTATTAAAAAATGTCACTACTGCAACACTAGGAATGTCCTGCACTTAATAGAATTATTTTTCACCGCTACAGTTTGAAGAATGTAAATATGCAACTCTGAGTGGGGATGTCTTTTTTCTCTTTTCTTTGTTTACTTTTTTTTTTTAATTTTTGAACTGACAATTAATATACAAATATAGGACACTGGGTGTTACCTTCTTTTTATTTTATTTTATTGGGAGATGTTTTGGGAGACAACTGTTCCTAGAATTTTATTGTAGATATACATGAGAATAGAGCAGTACTTTGCAGTATTACTCTTGCTGTTTATTGTTCAAATATAATTTAAGAAAATTCCACTTATTAGACTTGCCTATTTCTATGTTTTTAGATAGTTTAATGCATGTGGAAATTTGTAGCTGTCTTGGAAATTATGGTACATGTATGGAATACACATATATATATGTGGTATATACATATATATATATATATATATATATATATATATATATATATA